TTAGGTGTTAATGTTTATTTAATTAAATGTGTTGAATTACAGTGCAATAAACGAATGTTAATTAAGGCAATAAAGGAGACAAATAAAATAAATGTCATCCTTTTTTGATAGACAGAGGGGTATATGTATTCCCTCCTCATCCTATATGGAAATTTCTGGATTATTACCAGCATAAGTAGAGAGATTGATGGACAACAACTTTTTACATAGTTACAAGCACCAGGATGAGAAGGGAGCCGTCTTCTTCCACCAACTGAACACAGAGCTCCTTGCTGAAAAGTGTGCAGCAACTGATAGTGGAAAAGAGTGGAGAAGACTGGAGCCCTTCAGCCCAATCCTGCTTTCAAAACTGAAACCCTCTGTCTTTGATGATAGGTAATCTTGTCTCCTTTCAGCCCCCGTCCTTGACTTCAATCTCCATTCATTTTCAACTTAACATCTCACTATTTCAGCAGTTGCCGTTTACTAATAAATATGCAGCACTGCTCTAGGACTTAAAAAAATAAATTTTCAGACCTGAAAATTTTCAGTATTATGTTTGAAAAGGCCAATACCCATTTCTTGGCCCTTTGCTGATGATATAGACCATCAGTTCTTTGCAAAGGAGATAAATCATGTTATAAGATGCTGATTAATGCTCTGTTTTTCTGCCTTCTTGGCTCTGGGATGTCTGACATTCAGTCACCTGATCTAAAGTTAATAAATAAATTCAAACTTCTCTAGTTTGCCTTTAAAATATATTCTTGTTATGGTAAAAGCAAAGGCAGGTGTTAAGGCAGTCTTTTTTTTTTCTTCTATAACAAGACAAAACACCTACTAAAACCTCTCATTTTTATTTCTAGGTTTGCAATTTACTCAGTACAGTTGACCTTTAAACATATATGCGATATACACAGACAGGATATCCCATAAAACAAAAGATTTCTTGGTTTTAATGTATGGCATTTAAATACTCCTTTACTGCACTATTTATAAAACTGTTTTATAGAACAGTAAAAAGTATTGGGCTGTTTAAAAATGTTAATCCTATAATTAATAGTCAGAGGCATACGCTCTCCCCCAGCACAAGGCACTGATATTCTAAATCTGTCACTCTGAACTTTACAGTAGGAGACAGCCATCTGCCTGCATTCAGCCATCTAAAACAAAGCAAGAATATATGCTGTTATGTTTCCCCTGGTGAGATGCAGGACCATTATGATAAAAGTAGGCAACAAGGTTTAACTAATATGAATTAAGATAGCATGTGTTGAGAAAAAAAAACACATTAAATCAAACTGATTCTATAAAAGTCAATGTTATTAGGTGATTGGATAGGGATGATTTGATAAAATAGAGCTCATTACGTACTGTCAAGTAGAAAGGAAATATGTGTGTGGGTGACCTGTTACTGAGTCTCATAGCCCTAAAAACCTTCTCTGTATTACTGAATCTAGTAAGGTCTAGATTCAGTAAGGTCTCAATTTTAATTAAGGTCTATACCTAATTTACACCTCCATTTCACTATGAAAAATCAAAGTTGTTATGATAAAATATTTTAGTATTCTCTCACAAGTTAAGGATATTAACTGGAAGTAAAAAAGCAAGGTTGTGAAGAAAAATCAACTTCCAACATATCTTTACATATAGATGCCTGTGCAATTATATTTTTTTTCAGAGAATCGTATTCCTTCATCATTGATACCTAGATTTTTCTGAAATTCAAATCTTGTTCATCTACTTTCTATATTTCAGTTTTACTGAAATCATTATGGAAATAGATATATGATTCTTTTCAGGTCACCTAATGTACTTTTCAGTTTAATGTTACGTTGATCACAATAATAATACTCTCCAGTAAAAATTTAGATCAACATTAACATCTTTGGTTTTCTGACTTTAAAAATTTCATTTTTTAAAGAAAATGCTCTTTTCTTCCTGAAATAAAAACACTTCTTACACAGATTAAAGAGTGAGAAAATTCAGAAATTCCATGCCATGCCATCATGTTAAATATGATTTTCTAACTAGTGTAGCAATAGAGCATGGTGGTTAAATGTGAAGTCTGGAGTCAGCCAAGATTGCTTCTAATCCTACCTCTACCACATACAAGTTATGTGACCTTCAGCAAGTAATTTAATAGAGTCTAGGCCTTAGATTTCTCATTGGTAAATGGGGGTAATTTGCAGTGCCCACTTCAGCTGGGTTATTCTGAGGGTTAAGGGAAATAAGATGCACGAAGCACTCAGTGCAGTGTCTGGTAAATCAGAACTCTTCACAGTGATATTATGTAAATTTCATTCCTGAAGCTGAATTTCATATATTTTAGATGTTGAATGTACTCAATAAAGGACTCATTTAAGAAATTATTCTCATAGCAATTACATTTAAATTCTAGGCATTTTAATACTGAGAATAGATAGATAGATGATGGATAGATAGATAGATAGAGATGGATTAATTGATTGATTTGGAGACTGTTTATCCAAATCAAGATTTTTACCAGGTAGGTGAAACACTGAAACTGGCACACAATACTGTTTATTGAAATCTACACTTAGAAATTGTGGCATCTGGCCAATCTAGATAATGCTATAAAAAGTCTCATCATGGTACCAGATTCCTGAACCATGGGTCTTAGGCGCCAGTTATCATCTGTCAATCTGGATTGTAAGACGCATACCAGTATGAATTATATTTAGAGCATTAGATTGAAAACACAAACCTGTGCTTGGCTTTCTTTATGACTGAAAGAAGAAAGGTACTTAATCAAAGAGATAAATGATTAAAAATAAATATAATTTTTACAGTTGGAGCATAGTACACCACATTCTTTTTTTTTTTTTTTTAAAGATTTTATTTATTTATTTGAGAGAGAGAGAATGAGAGAGAGCACATGAGAGGGGGGAGGGTCAGAGGGAGAAGCAGACTCCCTGCCGAGCAGGGAGCCCGATGCGGGACTCGATCCAGGGACTCCAGGATCATGACCTGAGCCGAAGGCAGTCACTTAACCAACTGAGCCACCCAGGCGCCCGTACGCCACATTCTAAATATTACACTGAAATATTTCCCAAAAAAGGAGGCAAGAACAACAAAATCACAGATAATATTATAATAATGGATAATCTAAAAACAGTTCTATTGAATGAATTTTGTTTAGAGTATCACAAACCTCAGATATTACCGACTTAAAGTTTCTTAAAAAAAATCTCTAATTGGTAATAATTAGTCACAGCTTCTGATTATTTTGCACTTAGAAATAAATATTCTATAGTGGATTACCTAATTTTTATAATGCATCTCATTCAATTATTAGTCTTTAAAATACTGTAAATTCAACAGGAAAAAATGTAGAAGGTAGAAAATGATTAATAATGCTGAAAAAAAATAAAATATCCTCAACAACAAATATAGAATAGATATTCCCAATTCTTTTCCTGAGGTCAGTCTCCTACATTCTGCCACCGAAAACACTAAATACAACTAAACTTCAGTCAAGCCTTGGGTTTAACTCCAAATAAACCTGGATTTCTCTCTTTCTGGAGGAAAGTATAGGTCTGTGCATCAGTGTTAAAGCTACTCAGTAAGGAGTTAAAGGAGGGAGAACTGGGGATTCAGTGGGAGAGGTAAGGATTATGGCTGGAGGGTCATTTGTAGTTTAACATGTGTGACTGACCAGGAGATATAACCAATAACTACAGACTCCTCATTTTGTAACATCAATTTCACTATCATTAGTAAATTTGGATTAAAAAAAAAACATTAAAAATCAAAGTATAGTTCAAGAAAGGTAAGAAAGGTATTTTTCTAAAACTCCACCTAACATGAAATTAAAAAAGGAAAAAGCCCTTTCAGAGTTTTAAATGGCTAAGTGTGGATCTAAAACAGCTTTACAATCCAAATTATGTCCCTAGAACTCTACTTAAAGAATGTAATATAAATGATCTCACACTGTAGCGGAAGTCAAGTCTCATATTTTGCAGACTTAGGAAACATTCACTAAAAAATCAATAGTGATGTGTCCTCAAAAGCATTTTACAGTTAAAAAATAGACTTTAAGGACACATAATATTTATATAATGAGCAATAAAATAGACGAAGTTTACATTTCCATGCCTTTTACTATATTTACTTGCTTATTTGGCTGAAGATTAACACACAGCACTCATACAAGGTCATTTGGCAAGAAGAGCTGAATAATGTATTATGTGTTCCTATGAGTTTGCTTCCAGAGGTCCTACATTTTGGTATTTAAAAAAGGAAATATTTAACACAATCATGGATAAATAATGAAATTCTTTGCCATCTGGATCATTATCCAATAGTAATCCACATCCTCACTTACCTAATTTAGAACCAGTGATTAATTTTATATAGAAAACAATGTCACTTTTCAGCTCTTAGTGTAGGGACATGCATCATGACCCAATGCCTTTGTAATCTGCCCAGGGCGTTTCTGGCTCTAATTGCCCAACACTGCTTTAATTAACTGAGACTCGTAGGAGGCCATTAGATGTTGACAATAGGGAAATTTTCTTTTGATTCATAAATAGCTCCATTAATACTAAAACAATATTCCTAAACATCAAAAAATAATGTACTCTTCTTACCAAAATAATTTAAATATGGGTATCTGTTTATAAGATATAAAAAATAATGATTTGATTAACAACTAAGCAATAAAAATAGTATAAAGTAGAACTTAATTGTTTCTATGGTGACAAAGGATGGACTACACCATAATTTTAGAAGAAACCATATAAATAACACTACCTTTCAACTTTAACTCTTATTTTGTGTGACAATTAAAAATATAATCTGAATAACAATCCTAATGGAGAAAAAAAATCTTAGGTTTGCTTCTACAATACTGAACCAAAAGTGTTCTATCAGAATTCATTTTTAAATAAAATTATACAGATGTTTCTTGTTTGTGCTAGTATCTGTCAATGTGTACAATAAGGTTGCAATTCCCTTGTACCCTCTGGAGAAATTTCTAAAAATTAATGAAGATTGATTACCTTGTTCACAGAAATGGCCAGTAAAATGTAGTGGACAGTCACAGTGGAATGAGAACATACCACTGGAGAGGAAGACAGGATGGCAAGTGCCTCCATTGTGACACACATCCTCCTGGCACATGGATGGCACTACAAGAAGGGAGCTGAGGGAAGTCCATAGGGAGCCAAGCCCTTCTGTTACACCAGAAGGAGCAACAGAGGACACTGTAGACAGATTAGAATCCTGGGATCTAGGTTATAAAAAGATCAGGAAACACAATGTAGGTAAAAGTACATGAACTTAAACAGAAATAACAGCAACTCTGATTTAAAATAAGATGAAATAAAAACAATAGCATGCACGGTTTAACTGAGGATAAAGAGAATAGTCATGTTTGTTTTCCAGCTGTGGGATTTATAAATGTTGAAAATGCCTAAGTGACAGAATGTGACCCTAGGTGGATCACAGAGCTGTAGTTGATCTATATAGTTTTGAGAAGCTTAGTTAATTTCTTCTAAGTAGTAAAAAAAAACCTGGGTGTATCAACCTCAAAAAGCCTAAGAGTCAGTTCTCTTATGTAAAATAATTTGATTTTGGCTAAACATAGTTCTACTTTGGCTATTTTAACCCTCAGGAACTGAAGATCAAGAAATTAGGCCATGTTACATTTTAATGGTAAAACTGCTTGAAACTGAATTATTTCTAGGTTGATTATTAGAAATATGTATTCTTCAAAATGACTTGCATTCATTTCTAAAAGTTACCCAAGAGGTACCTTATGAATGCCTGCAAGTAATTCCCTAATTATTTTCACAAATTTTACTACCAGCTTAATTTTTTTTCTTGTCTAATAATGATACAACAACAACAAAAAATCCCTTTGAATTAAGATGAAGTTGCTTACTTTTACATTCAAAGCCTCTTGATAATGAATTTCTTCTTTGCTTTCCAGCCTATTTTATTGTGATCCCTAATAAGTACCTTAACTTCTCTCCTACCCAATTAAATTACTATTCCTTAAAAACTCTGAACTTACTGAATTTTGGTAGTTTGAACTATTTTCTTTGCATTGTTGCTCCTTTCTTCTTATCTAAATTTCACCTAAAGTGCCAAGTCAAGATCTATATTATTTCCTCCATGTAGCCTTCTTCGTTGCTCCTGGTTCACTGACAAGAAATTAATATTTCTTTTATCTCTAAAATTCCATATGTTATTGTACCACTGCTAGAATATTTTCCATTGGCTTGGAATATATTTTTTATTTTACATAGAGCTACTTCAGCCAGGCTGAACACTGGTCATTGTTTTCTATCTTTCCTCCAGAAACAAATTCCTCATTTTGGGAGAATTCCTTATTCATAGTAAACATTCTATAAATATTTGTTGAATTAATGTCTTCAGAGTACTCCTGAGTATAACATACTGTTTGGAAGCAGTGCTTTTGGAATTTTCATTTAATACAATCATCAAGAGAATTATCCTTTTAATGTAAAAAAATCTTGCTATGATACAAATAATCGACAACTTAACTATCTGAGTAAATGTTTAATTTGTACATTGTCATAAAGAAAAAACCTTGGCAGAAGAAGTCAGTTCAATGATAACCTCTGACTGATATTTAGAGACTTAATTATTTTTGCATCTCCTGTATATACCCATGTCAACTTACTGGAATAAAAAGAAGCTGAAGAAAGGGAGACAATTTATGAAAACATTTTACCAAAGTAATATTAATGTGCAGGTCAGTTCTTTTGTTTTACAATCCTTTTGTAACCTCAAATTCTTATTTATGGTGTTTAACACAGGTTGTAGCCATATAGTTATATTTATGATTAAGCTGACTGTCTTCTCTCTCCTTGAATGCAATCTCCACGAAGAATGGATGGATGGATCATCTCTGCTCTTTACTTCATTTTATTCCCGACAACAATGCTTATCCCCAAGTAGGCTCTCCAAGAAACATTTTATAAATTAATTTGAGTAATTTTGTACATATGCAATGGACCACAGTACTAACAAGAATAATAGCAAGTGAAAATAATTTTATCTTTGGGGTCAATTTCAGAACTCCATTACACAGCTCTTTAGTTTTATAAATAATATAAATTCTAACATTTTTGATGCAATCTTATAATCAATTTTCTCGGATTTCATTCTATTAGATTAACATAGTTCTTTCCATTTGAACTCATAATATAAGTTTGTCCCTTTAAAGTAACTTCCATCAAGCACTGCTAATTTAAAGTTCATGGGATTTTTTTACTTGGTATTCTATATTCTAATTTAATTTTTAGTTTTATTGTTTCTTAATGATTTCATCATTTTGTCTGTCTCTTGCTATGGACTTCATGAACTGCAGTCAATCATCTCTTTCATGGGCGCCTGGGTGGCTCAGATGGTTAAGCGTCTGCCTTCGGCTCAGGTCATGATCCCAGGGTCCTGGGATCGAGTCCCGCATCGGGCTCTCTGCTCCTTAGGAGCCTGCTTCTCACTCTGTCTCTCTCTCTCTCTGTCTCTCATGAATTAAAAAAAAAAAAAAATCATCTCTTTCAGGAATAAATTAGACTGAATTAAATGTCACTACTTCTTTCTCCCACAGTAGCTGCTAAGGGAGCCTATGTCTCACCTGAAAAAGTCAATGTGTTGCACCTTTCAGCTGCTAACTGATTATAGAGAAATGATTACTATTAATTGATCCATCAATTAAAACATCAGGGTCATAAATCAAATTTTGAAAACAGCATCAATATGATATATTCTGTTATTAAGATCAAATTTTGTATCTGATATATTACTATTAATAGTCCTTGCCTTCCAGTATTTTTCTTTTCTTAAATTATAAATTATGGGTGGCGCCTGGGTGGCTCAGTCGTTAAGCGTCTGCCTTCGCCTCAGGTCATGATCCCAGAGTCCTGGGATTGAGCCCCGCATCAGGCTCCCTGCTCGGCAGGAAGCCTGCTTCTCCCTCTCCCACTCCCCCTGCTCGTGTTCCCTCTCTCGCTGTGTATCTCTCTCTGTCAAATAAATAAAATCTTAAAAAAAAAAAAATTATAAATTATGTCATGACTCACCTATTCTAATGACTTGTTTTAAAAGGTTATTTACTTATTTGAGAGAGAGAGAGGGAGAGTGAGCACACAAGCAGCAGGGAGGGGCAGAAGGAGAAGCAGACTCCCCACTGAGCAGGGAGCCTGATGCGGGACTCCATCCCAGGACCCCGGGATCATGACCTGAGCCAAAGGCAGATGCTTAACCAACTGAGCCACCCAGATGCCCCATTATTTACCTATTTTAGAATTAAAATAACTGTTATTCAATTTTTTATATATTTAAAAAGAAATAAAAATTTCTTTGGATAACATTTTAACTTATTTTTACATAAAAGGTTAAAAATATCAAGTAAACGTGGACATTTATTAAACCCAATTAGATGATGGTCATATTGATATAATTAGCAATGTAAAAAAAGGAGCATTAAAGTTGTAATTATTTTCATTCTAAAAATTATGAATGCATAAGAGCTTAGAAATAAATCAAGATTCAGTGTTTTCAAAATTGTTTTTTAAATTAACAATACTGTAAAACTTCATTGCCTTTCTTATTTAAATACTAGTTTACTATCTAAAATAGTAAGTGTAAAGAATCTGCTTGACTGTCTCTCGGGTATCTTTGTGATGAACCAGTCACTGCTATAACAAGTAGTCACCTCTAATGACCTTTTTCTGAATGAATTAATGATTGAATGATATGCTAATTTTACTCAAAATCAAGCGTGACCCTTAGAGAAAGGCACCTTGATATGACAATGATTGCAAATCATGTTGTGGGAGCTCTAGGTAGAACAAGAAAGGAGGACACACTACTTGTTGTCTCATTCCTGCCATTCTCCCGTTTCCAGAAAGTTCTACAGAATCATTTGCATGGCAGTCAACAAGTAGTTCACATTGCTGTAGCCTGAGGGATTTTGCTTGTCAGCTGACTTTATCACTGCTCAGCAGACATTTGTCTGGCTTCCACTTCTTAGAAATAATGGACTCACTCACAAAGGTGAACCCTGGAAGCCCTGCTTTTTAAGCAGAAAAATGTAACTTTTAAATTAGGATGAAGTATTAAAGGAAAGAAACTCAGCTGGAGGAATCTTGAGTTTGTACATACTCCATTCTACTTATCTTTTATCTACTTATCTTTTCACCTACTAGAATATACTAATTGACTCTTTACTTTTTCACCTAAAAATAACTCTTAGCAGGCTGCCCTATCAGTAGGTACAGTTCTTCATTTTCCTTTTAAAAGCTGCAAAGTGTTGTAGTGTTTGGTTATACATCATTGATCCTACCAGTTTGGGATTAATATATTTAAGCTGTTTCAAGTTTTTCCCTATTATCTGAGTCATACATTCCTTTTCATAGCTATACTGAGATATACCCATTTAATGTGCAAGATCCAATAAATTTTAGTAGATCCAGAGTGGTGCAACCATCACCATAATCTAATTTTATGTTTTGTCTTCCCTAAAAGAAACTATATCTATTAAAAGTCACTCCCCACCACCTACCCTCAGCCTACATTTTGTATCTATACATTTGCCTGTTTTGGACACTTTATATAAATGGAATCATAATATGTGATCTTTCGTGACTGGCTTTTCCACTTACCATAATGTTTTCAGGGTACACTCATGCTTTTGTATATAACAAAACTTTATTGCTTTTTATCACTGATATGGATATACCACATCCTGTTTGTTACTTGATAGACATTTGAGCAGTTCTTAATTTTGGTCTATTTGAATAATGCAGCTATGAACATTCACGTTCAAGCTTTTGTCTGGATGTATGTTTTCAATTTTCTTGAATATATATCTAGGAGTAGAATTGCTGAGTCATATATTTTATGTTTAAATTCTAAGCAACAGCTAAGCTATTTTCCAAAGATGCTGTACCATTTTACAATCCTGCTAGTAAAATATTAGAGTTCCAATTTCTCCACATCCTTGTTGCATCATACATTCCTACAAGTGTTCTATATATTTAAATTTTTTGTGGATTTTCTGGGCACCTGGGTGGCTCAGTTGGTTAAGCGACTGCCTTCGGCTCAGGTCATGATCCTGGAGTTCCGGGATCGAGTCTCACATTGGGCTCCCTGCTCAGCAGGGAGTCTGCTTCTCCCTCTGACCCTTCTCCCTCTCATGCTCTCTGTCTCGCAAATAAATAAAATCTAAAAAAAAAAAAAAAATTTTTTTTGTGGATT